TTCCCCACTTCTATCCAGCTTCACCCAGCCCTGGTTCAGCCCCTAAAGGGAGCTGGCAGGGGTGGGAGTGTCAAGTCAGCGGTCTGGGCCAAGCTGCATTGCGCCTGGCCTGGCCTGCAGGCAGATGCTCTCTCCTGTTTGTTCTGTCTCGCTCTCCTCCCTACCCCGCTCCTTTCTAACATGTTCCAGTGTTTTTAACAGAACTGGTTGCTCAGCTAAATAAACTCCTGATATGGAAAGTTCGGCTTGACAAAACACAAATCATACAGGCCTTGTTTGCTTAAGGAAAAAAAATGCCTGAGCTGGCACATGTTCCCGCGCTTCCTTTCTGTCCCCTCTGCGAGTCTGTTCCCAGCTCTCGCTCTCTGGATCAACGTCCCTCCCTCCTCCCTCCTGCCCTTTCCCCCACCTCCCATGTCTCCACCCGCCTGGATCACTGTTCTGTTTTTTCCATGTAACTTCCTCAGTGTCTCTCACTGAAGCGGCCTAATTTCCTCTCCCACCTCCCTTCCTCGAGGAGCAGTCATGCCCAGGAGCTAGAAGCGTGGGCTTTGCAGGCATTGGTTGAGCTGTGCTGAGCCCTGGACAGCAATGACTCAAACTTGACCCTTAACCCCAGGCAGGTAAGTGAGCCCCACTGCATTACGGTGCCGACCACAGTTTGGAATTAGGGGATACAGACATTCCGATGGGCAGAAGTCAGGGGATCTCCTAGGACACCAGAGGAATACCAGGCATGGGACTAAGCAGCTTGTTTTCTCTTTTGACACAAAGGAGTGGCTGGAGGCTTCTGAGCCAAGGCTCTGCTGGACTAGAGATCGTGTTGCCAATGAATAGCATGGATTGGAAAAGACCAGGCTGGAGGTGGGAGCAGGGCAACTAGGGAACTGGAACAATAGGCCAAGCAGGGGGCCAGCAGTTGGCAACAGGGCCCACGTGCCCCCAGGCAATGTGAAGGCGGTCAGTAGGCAGGGAGGTGGGGTGGGGAAGGCATAGGTTTGGGAAAGTAGGCAGAGAAGACTCAGGTCAAAGTTCCAGTCTGTGCCAAAGCAACAAGTGTCACAGAGGTCCGTGGTGGGGCCGAGGATGGATTGCAGACCCTAAAGGCCAAGTCCAACTTCCCTCTCTCGCTCCTCTGAGTGAAGAATGCATGTTTCCTCCAAAGCCTCGGATTAAACAGCCGTTGACCTTGTCTATCCAGTTCTGTTTCCTTCTTCTTCCCATAGGGGTCGCCCTCCCTCCCCAGACCTCAAGTGGGGCGGGCACCTAGCCCAGAGTGGCCATGTGACCCAGTCCTATCCAATCACCATGGTCCCGCCTCCTGGCTACCCCAATTGGTTCAGGGATGAGCACGTGGCCCAATGAGAGTAAGCCCTGAGGTTTCTGTGGGAACTGGTGGGAAAGAATTCTGCTGGAGCATCTGGAGTTGCTCAAATGGAGGCCTGCAGCCGTCTTTCCCTCCACGTGGGGAGGAGTCGGCCTGAGAATGAAAGCAGCACAGTAAAGGGCGGAAAGACAGTGAGTGTGTGCTTTTTGAGGGCAGCATTTGAGCCTTGGCCTCAGCTGGCCCCGAAGCCAGCACTCCCCCTGAACGTCTCAATTTTGTGAGCCATTAAATCCCCTTGATAGTTTAGGCAAGTTTTCACTGGGTCTTACCCCACGTGAGCCCCCACTCGTCCATATGGACCCGTTTTGGACCAGTAAGGCATCCCCATCTGTAGTCTTCAACATGCGGATCGTCACCACTCCCGAGCAGTCTGACCTCAGGCAAGTATCTTAACCTCTCTGGGTCCCTGTTTCTTCATCTGTATGATGGGGAGAATAATAGTGCCTACTAAGGTTGTTGTGAGGATTAAATGAATACGTGTAAAGCACTCAAGGCAGGCCCTGGCACATGGTGAACCTCAAATGTTAGCTGCTACTTTGTAATTATTATCCTCACGCACCTCTCGCTTCGGAAGACCAGTTCCGAGGGCAAGAGGCACAGGGAAGAGAAGAACGGCCCACCTCTGCTTGCCTTGGGTTTGGCTTTAGTACACTTTACTCTCTGAAGACCCGCCTCTTCCCCAAGTGATTGACACTGGAGTCATCGACACAGCGAACTCCAGATGCGACACGGCCTGAGTCAGGCCTTGTGGGATAAGCCCACTCGGGAACAGGAAGGAAAGACGTGCCTGACTGAGCAGAGAGCTAGAGGTCAGACAACACGTCCCTACCCTGGGCACTGGCTGCTCAGTCATTAAAGCAGACCCAAATAGCTTCTGGCCGGGGGCTCAAAGGAACAGCCTATTAGAGACTCATTTTTCCAGTCTCTCTTCCACTGTTGTGTCTCCACAGGTGGAGTTGGGGAAAGACTCAGGGTGGCAAGGACCAGGATCTGCTGCCGAGCCTGTGGGTCCTGTCTCCCTATGGGATGCCCCTGGGACTCTGTGCCCATGGATGCATTGGGTGACTTGAGGTCAATTGTTTTCTCTCTCCAGATCTAGGCAGAAGAAGCAATCTGCTCTGCTTCGGAGAACCTCAAGAGGCTCTTAATCCTGCTCTTTTCTCCCTCTGGGCTCCCTCTGTGATGAGCTCATCTGACCTCCTGGCAACCCCAAAGGGTAGTTTAGAGCAGGGAATCAGCCTCGCGATTTACAGAAAGGATAACTCAGGCCAGGGAAGCGACTTGAACAGGGTCCTGTAGGGACTCAGTGAAGGAGGCTTCGGAACCCAGCCTGTCTTCCAGCAGACCAGTAATCAGCAAATCTGGCTGATTTATTTATTTAGAGACAGAGTCTCGCTCCTGTTGCCCAGGCTGGACTGCAGTGGCGCAATCTTAGCTCACTGCAACCTCTGCCTCTGGGGTTCAAGTGATTCTTGTGCCTCAGCCATCAGAATAGCTGGGATTACAGGTGCATGCCACCACCCACCTGATTTTTTTTAAAATAAAGTTTTATTGGAACAAGCCATGCTCATTCATTTACATATTGTTCCTGGCTGCTTTCACCATACAACAACAGTCGAGTACAGATGCTGTTCAGTTTACAATGGGGTTACTTCTCAGTAAGCCCATAAACTGGCCTGTGGTCCCAGCTAACTTGAGAGGCTGAGTGGGAGAAACATAAGTCTGGGAGGTCGAGGTTGCAGTGAACCCTGATGGCGCCACTGCACTCCAGCCTGGGTGACAGAGTGAGACCCTGAATGAGGGCCCTGAGCAGTTGGAACCACACAGGTGTGTGCCACAATGGGCAGCTAATTTTTTAATTTTTATTTTTTGGATTTTTTGTAGAGATTGGGTTTTGCCATGTTGCCCAGGCTAGTCTTGAACTCCTGGCTTCAAGTGATCCTCCTACCTTGGCCTCACTAAGTGTTGGGATTACAGGCATGAGCCACTGTACCCAGGCCTGGATTTTTAATCAACATGTAAGGTTGTAGCTCAATGATTTTTCACCCAATGCACACACCTGTGTGACTTGCACCTGGATCAATAAACAGAACAGCACTAATCCCGAGTCCCCTTCTGTTGGAAATAGATGTTCGGTGTTGCAAAGAAAAATTAGCACTGAGACAAAGAATCTTTCAGCAATGCAATTTTTACTTCCTGGACTGCAGGAAGGGTACCCTCTCTAGCCATCTTGCCACGAGAGTACCTTCTTATCCCCGTCTAGTCATTACCCCACTAAGTGTGGCTGATACTCTGACTTCTACCTACACCGATTTCTTTGGCTTATTTTCTTTCTTTTTTTTTTTTTTTTTTTTTCCCATTTTTGAGACGGAGTTTCGCTCTTGTTACCCAGGCTGGAGTGCAATGGCGCGATCTCGGCTCACCGCAACCTCTGCCTCCTGGGTTCAGGCAATTCTCCTGCCCCAGCCTCCTGAGTCGCTGGGATTACAGGCACGCGACACCATGCCCAGCTAATTTTTTTGTATTTGTAGTAGAGACGGGGTTTCACCATGTTGACCAGGATGGTCTCGATCTCTTGACCTCGTGATCCACCCGCCTCGGCCTCCCACAGTGCTGGGATTACAGGCTTGAGCCACCGCGCCCCACTCTTTGGCTTATTTTAGAGCTTTGCATTCACAGAATGATGTAGTATGTGCTCCTGTGTATCTAGCTTCTTTCACTTAACACAATATTTGTGAGATTCAACACTGGTGTGTGAGAGCGTGTGCCATTCATTCTCATTGCTGGAAAATACTCTATGGGGTGAGTGTACTACAATGTGCTATCCATTCTTTGGACATTTGAGATATTTCCAGCCGATGGGGTGGGGAGAATTATAAATTATGGAGGATTGCTTGAGGCCAGGAGTTCAAGGCCAGCCTGGGCAACATAGCCAAACCCCATCTCTACAAAAAAATTTAAAAATTAACCAAGCATGTGATATACACTTCTAGTCCCAACTACCCAGGAGGCTGAGGTGGGAGGATCGCTCGAGCCCAGGAGTTGAAGAGTGCAGTGAACCAAAATTGTGCCACTGCCCTCCAGCCCAGGCAAAAGAGCAAGACCTTATCTTAAAAAAAAAAAAAAAAAAAAAAAAAAAAAAGAGAGAGAGAGAAAAGGCCTGGCACAGTGGCTCATGCTTGTAAGTCCATCACTTTGGGAGGCCGAGGCAGGCAGATCACTTGAGGTCAGGAATTCAAGGCCAGCCTGGGCAACATGGTGAAACTGTCTCTACTAAAAATTCAAAAGTTAGCCGAGTGGCCAGGCATGGTACCCCTGTAATCCCAGTACTTTGGGAGACTGGCCAAGGTGGGTGGATCATCTGAGGTCAGGAGTTCAAGACCAGCCTGGCCAACATGGTGAAACTCCGTCTCTACTAAAAATATAAAAATTAGCTAGGTATGTTGGCGGGGGCCTGTAATCCCAGCTACTCAGGAGGCTGACGCAGGAGAATCACTTAAACCCAGTAGGCAGAGGTTGCAGTGAGCCCAGATTGCGCCACTGCACTCCGGCCTGGGTGGCAAAGTGAGACTCTGACTCAAAAATAAAAATTCGAAACCCACACCCATCTATTTCTTCACCCTTCTGAGCCTCATGTTCCCTATGTGTAAGATGAAGGTAACTGTCCCTGACCTGCCCACCTCCCAGGGTTGTGTGGGAACCAATTAGATCTGGACCTGTGAGGAAAACTGTACAAACCTTTGAGGCTGTTCAGTCATGAGACTCTTCTACCCACACCCCCTACATACAATTAAGTGCTTGCTGCAGAGGCATTGGGGTCTCTGGCCAGAGGTGACATCTGAAGCAATCAGGATCCTGTTCGGTTTTTCCACATCCGACCTGCCGCCGGGCCAGGGCAAGAGAGCCACGCGCGGCGGATGCACGGGCCCTGAACTCTTTCCCGAGTAGTCCCCAGAGGTAGCTGCTGCCTTTCAGTTTCTGCGCTTGTTTATTTTCAAAGGGACGTTGCCAGACCGCGAGGCCTCCCTGCCCTTTCATGGTTTGTTTTATGCAGATTTCAGGAAGAGAGAGAAGAGGTAAAGGGACCAGAAACAAAGTCTTCTGTGAGCAAACAATGGCAACAGGCCCCAGATGTTAGGTTTGAGGGGCATATGAGGCAGGGGACTGAACTGCAGAGTTGGGCCAGAGGTCCCCTTGCTGACCCCCTGAACCCCAGGAGCCTTGAGAGTACTGACCGTGTTAACAATAACTGCAAATATCCCACATAGGATGCTAGAATAACTGGACATCTGTGTGCCAAAACCATGAATGTATACCTTGCACCTTATCACAAAATTCACTCAAAATGGATCAGAGACCAAAATGTAAAACACAAAACTGAGAATCCTAGGGGAAAGTAGGAGAAAATCTTTGTGACTTTGGGGTTAAGCAAAGCTTTTTGCTAAAGACACTGATAAGAGATTGAAAACACAAGCACACAGATTGGTCGATAATCTTTGCAAAACATGTATCTGATAAAAGACTTGTGTCCAGAATATATAAAGAACTCTCTCTTTTTTCTTAATTTGTTGTGTTTTGTTTTGTTGTGTTGTGTTGTGTTTGAGACAGAGTCTCATTTTGTCACCCAAGCAAGAGTGCAGTGGGGCGATCTTGGCTTACTGCAACCTGTGCCTCCCTGGTTCACGCATTTCACCTACCTTAGCCTCTGAGTAGCTGGGATTATAGAAATGTGCCACCATGTCCCGCTAATTTTTTTTTTTTTTTTAACAGAGTCTCACTCTGTAACCCAGGCTGGAGTGCAGTGGCGCGATATCTCGGCTTACTGCAACATCTGCCTCCCTAGTTCAAGCAGTTCACCTGCCTCAGCCTCCTGAGTAGCTGGGATTACAGGCATGTGCCACCATGCCCGGCTAATTTTTTTTTTATTGCATTTTAGGTTTTGGGGTGCATGTAAAGAACATGCAAGATTGTTGCATAGGTACACACATGGCAGTGTGATTTGCTGCCTTCCTCCCCATCACCTATATCTGGCATTTCTCCCCATGTTATCTCACCCCAACTCCCCCCCTCCGCTGTCCCTCCCCGATTTCCCCCCAACATACCCCAGTGTGTGATGCTCCCCTCCCTGTGTCCATGTGTTCTCATGGTTCAACACCCACCTATGGGTGAGAACATGCGGTGTTTGATTTTCTGTTCTTGTGTCAGTTTGCTGAGAATGATGGTTTCCAGGTTCATCCATGTCTCTACAAAGGACACAAACTCATCATTTTTATGGCTGCATAGTATTCCATGGTGTATATGTGTCACATTTTCCCTGTCCAGTCTATCATCAATGGGCATTTGGGTTGGTTCCAAGTCTTTGCTATTGTAAACAGTGCCGAAATGGACATTCGTGTGCATGGGTCCTTATAGTAGAATGTTTTACAATCCTTTGGATATATACCCAGTAATGGGATTGCTGGGTTAAATGGAATTTCTATTTCTAGGTCCTTGAGGAATCGCCACACTGTCTTCCACAATGGTTGAACTAACTTGCACTCCCACCAACTGTGTAAAAGTGTTCCTATTTCTCCACATCCTCTCCAGCATCTGTTGTCTCCAGATTTTTTAATGATCGCTATTCTAAATGGTGTGAGATGGTATCTCAATGTAGTTTTGATTTGCATTTCTCTAATGACCAGTGATGATGAGCATTTTTTCATATGTTTGTTGGCCTCGTGTATGTCTTATTTTGTAAAGTGTCTGTTGATATCCTCTGCCCACTTTTGAATGGGCTTGTTTTTTTCTTGTAAATCTGTTTTAGTTCTTTGAAGATTCTGGATATTAACCCTTTGTCAGATCCGTAGACTGCAAAATTTTTTCCCATTCTGTTGGTTGCTGATTCACTCCAATGACTGATTCTTTTGCTGTGCAGAAGCTGGGGAGTTTGATTAGGTCCCATTTATCTGTTTTGGCTTTTGTTGCCAATGCTTTTGGTGTTTTGGTCATGAAGTCCTTGCTTATGCCTATGTCCTGAATGGTTTTGCCTAGATTTTCTTCTAGGGTTTTTATGGTGTTAGGTCTTATGTTTAAGTCTTTAATCCATCTGGAGTTAATTTTAGTGTAAGGTGTCAGGAGGGGGTTCAGTTTCTGCTTTCTGCACATGGCTAGCCAGTTTTCCCAACACCATTTATTAAACAGGGAATCCTTTCCCCATTACTTGTTTTTGTCAGGTTTGTCAAAAATCAGATGGTTGTAGATGTGTGGTGTTGCCTCTGAGGCCTCTGTTCTATTCCATTGGTCTATATCTCTGTTTTGGTACCAGTACCATGCTGTTTTGATTACTGTAGCCTTGTAGTATAGTTTGAAGTCCAGTAGTGTGATGCCTCCAGCTTTGTTCTTTTTGCTCAGAATTGACTTGGCTATATGGGCTCTCTTTTGGTTCCATATGAAGTTTAAGGTTTTTTTCTAGTTCTGTGAAGAAGGCCATTGGTAGCTTGATGGGGACAGCGTTGAATCTGTAAATTACTTTGGGCGGTATAGCCATTTTCATGATATTGATTCTTCCTAACTATGAGCATGGAATGTTTCTCCATCCGTTTGTGTCCTCTCTTATTTCATTGAGCAGTGGTTTGTAGTTCTCCTTGAAGAGGTCCTTTACGTTCTTTGTTAGTTGTATTCCTAGGTATTTTATTCTCTTTGTAGCAATTGTGAATGGCAGTTCGTTCTTGATTTGGCTTTCTAAAAATATGGAATGCTTCACAAATTTGCGTGTCATCCTTGTACAGGGGCCATGCTAATCTTCTCTGTATTGTTCCAATTTTAGTATATGTGCTGCCGAAGCGAGCACAATATATATTTTTTTAAAAACAGAGTCTTACTCTGTAATCCAGGCTGGAGTGCAGTGGCGTGATATCTCAGCTCACTGCAACATCTGCCTCACAGGTTCAAGTGATTCTCTTGCTACAGCTTCCCATGTAGCTAGGACTACAGGTGTGCGCCACCTTTGCCTAGCTAACTTTTGTATTTTTAGTAGAGATGGAGTTTCATCATGTTGGCCAGGCTAGTCTTGAACTCCTAACCTCGTGATCCACCCACCTCCACCTCCCAAAGGGCTGGGATCACAGGCATGAACCACCACACCCGGCCCAATTTTTATATTTTTACCAGAGATGGGGTTTTGCCATGTTGTCCAGGCTGGTCTCTGGTCTCAAGCAATCTGCCCATCTTGGCTTCCTAAAGTGCCCGGATTACAGGCATGACCCACCACACCCAGCCTCTTTTGTCTTTTTTTTCTTTATTTTTTGTTGAGACGGGGCCTTGTTCTGTCAACCAGCCTGGAGTGCAGTGGTGCAATCTCGGCTCACTGCAACCGCCACCTCCTGGGATCAAGCAATTATGCCTCAGCCTCCAGCGTAGCTGGGACTTCAGGTGTGTGCCGCCACGCCTAGCTAATTTTTGTATTTTTAGTAGAGATGGAGTTTCACCACGTTGGCCAGGCTGGCCTTGAACTCCTGACCTCATGATCTGCTAGCCTCTACCTCCCAAAGTGCTGGGATTACAGGAGTGAGTCACCGCGCCTGGCCCATTTTTTATATTTTAACTAGAGATGGGATTTTGCCATGTTGACCAGGCTGGTCTCTGACCTCAAGCAATCTGCCCCTATTGGCTTCCTAAAGTGCCGGGGTTACAGGGGTGACCCACCATGCCCAGACTCTTTTCCCTTTTTTAGCTCTCTTTTTTTGTTGTTGTTATTGAGACAGGGCCTTGCTCTGTCACCCAGGCTGGAGTATAGTGGTGTGATCATGGCTCACTGCAGCCTCAGCCTCCTGGGGCTTAGGTGATCCACCCACCTCAGTCCCCCAGGTAGCTGTGATCATGCCACTGCACTCCAGCCTGGGCAACAGAGCAAGACCCTATCCCTAAATTTTAAAGAATTGCAAAAATCTGGATGTAAATATTTACAGTGGTCTTATTCATAACCACCAAAAACTAGAAACAACTAAATGGCCTTCAACTGACAGATGTGTAAACACACAGTGGTACATTCATAAAATGAAATACTACACAGCAATAAAAAGGAACGGACTACAGATGCACTCAGCAGCAGGGCAGAATCTCAGATGCATTATGCTAAGTGAGAGAAGCCAGTCTCAAGGCCACTTTTTGAAGGATTCTATTCCAGAAAAGGTAAAACAACGGGAACAAGAAACAGATCAGTGGTTGCCAGGGACTGGAACAGAGAGAGGGACTGACTACAAAGGGCAAGAAGCAAGGGGGAAACTCTGTGTGTGTGTGTGTGTGTGTGTGTGTGTGTGTGTGTGTGTGTGTGTGTGTGTGTTTAAATAGTTTTTGAGATGGAGTCTCACTCTGTTGCCCAGGCTGGAGTGCAATGGCGCAATCTTGGCTCACTGCAACCTCCGCCTCCCAGGTTCAAGCCTGCCTCAGCCTTCTGCGTAGCTGGATTGCAGGCACATGCCACCATGCTGGGCTAATTTTTGTTTGCATTTTTAGTAAAGACAAGGTTTCATCATGTTGGTCAGGCTGGTCTTGAACTCCTGACCTCAAGTGATCCGCCTGCCTCGGCCTCCCAAAGTGCTAGGATTACAGGTGTGAGCCACCACGTCCAGCCGTGTGTATATTTTTTAACAGATGAGGTCTTATCTGTCATCCAGTCTGGAGTGCAATGGCACACTCACAGCTCACTGCAGCCTCGAACTTTTGGGTTTAAGGGATCCTCCTGCCTCAGCTCCCTGAGTGGCTGGGTCCACAGGCTCACGCCACCATGTCTGGCTAATTTTTTTATTATTTTGTTGTACTGACAGGATCTTGTCCCCTTGCCCAAGCTGTTTTCCAACTCCCGGGCTCCAGCAGTCCTCCCCTCTCAGCCTCCCAAAGTGCCAGGATTACAGGTGTGAGCCATTGGTGCCTGTCCTGTCCTATATCTTTCTTTCTTTTTTTTTTTTGACAGAGTCTCACTTGTCGCCCAGGCTGGACTGCAGTGGTGCAATCTTGGCTCACTACACGTTCCAGGTTCAAGCAGTTCTGCCTCAGCCTCCCAAGTAGTTGGGATTACAGGCGCGTGCCACCACACCCAGCTAATTTTTGTATTTAACCATGTTGGCCAGGCTGGTCTCAAACTCCTGACCTCAAGTGATCCGCCTACCTCGGCCTCCCAAAGTGCTGGAATTATAGACGTGAGCCACCGTGCCCAGCCCTGTTCTGTATCTTGATTGTGGTAGTGGTCACTTGACTGTACATGTTTGTCAAAACTCCTGGAACTGTACATTAAAAACAGAGAACTTTTCCAGGCACAGCGACCCATACCACCACTTTGGGAGGCTGAGGCAAGTGGATCATTTGAGGTCAGGAGTTCAAGACCAGCCTGGCCAACAGGGCAAAACCCCGTCTCTACTAAAAATACAAAAATTAGCTGGATATGGTGGCACATGCCTGTAGTCCAGCTACTGGGGAGGAGGGGGCAGAAGAATCCCTTGAACCCAGGAGGCAGAAGTTGCAGTGAGCCAAGATCACGCCACTGTGCTCCAGCCTAGGGACAGGGTGGGACTCCATCTCAAAATAA